CCGCGGCCCGGCCCCCCCCCGCCGCCCCCCCCCGCCCCCCCCCGCCCCCCCCCCCCCCCCGCAGCGGAGGGGGAAGCGGTGCGGGCAGGACATACTTTTGCTCGCGGATCCCAATGACCAGCCTGTACCACCCGTAGGTCATGATGAGGCCCGCGCCGACGAGGAGGGTGGCGGGTCGGAACCCTCGCGCGGGGAGGTTGCGCTGCGAGAGGACATGTTAGCGGGGGTGCCGATGACTCGATGGTTGTAGGAATTCCAAGGGAGGTCGCATATTCAACCATGCCCGCCCTCCCAGAAGCAGGCCAGCCATTTCTTCCCGTCTGTGTTGCCTCGGGAACACGACTCGGCTATCGGGCTTGCCCCAGTAGAGTCATTGCGCGCCTCCATTCCCAGGTTTACCGTCAAGCCCACCCTGTCGCCTCGAAGATGGCCGTCCCTTCCCACCTAGCCCGCCAATGCCTGCCATATCGTAAAATAAACCATAGCAGACGTAGCGAGGGCGACAAGGTTGTCTCTCCGCCGGCTTTCCCATCGCCTATCACGCAACCGCAGTCCCAGCCATGCCCATCCACCAGCGCCAAGCGACCGCACCGCACCTCAGCGGCAAGAAAGAACAGACAAAAGACACCCCCCGGAGAAACCCACCTTGTACTGGACGGCCTGGTAGCCGCCAACGGGCGGCATATCCTGCGGCATGATGGGCAGAGAATAAAACGATTCCCCGTCCGCTGTTTTCGCGTGTTTAGGTCGGGGTAGGGGGATCGGGTTGCGATGTTCGACGTCCGAGGTGGGGTTCGGAAGCGAGAAATATTCGCAGTCGAGTCGATTCGGCCGCCTCTGTGTCGTGTGTCCCAAGCTGTCGGCGAATTGGGGGTTTACTCGTTGTGCCGGGTTCGAGATGCGTTCAATTTCAGTGATGAGGTTTGAAGCTCGGTCCGCAACATTGTCGGGATATTATGTAATCATCACCCCACCATTGGCACAATCCGTCAATTTCATAGGTCACACGATACATCGGCAAAATCATTGGTTCAAGGAAGGGCAGCCATCACTGGGAGCATGCATCTAAGGTTATGTGGTACAGGTAGGTAGGTAATTGGGAAATAGGTACAGCTTCTCCTTTGGTAGGTAAGTAGGTAGACAAAGGAATAATAGACTACCGATTCCGTGGGCGCCAATCCTATCCAGGCGCTATGCAGCTGATATCTAGTCCATGGTTTTTTCATCACGCCAAACTCTGCTTGCTTTGCCCCCAGTCGCAAATCATCACAAAACACACACCGAAACGCCACGAAACAAGATTCACTCAGAACCAGTGTCCCATCATCATTCCATCGGGGATGAGGAGGTCCCTCCGGGTGACAGGGTGCTAACCTTTCTCTTCCTCCCCCTCGACCGCCCTCATTTGCCTCTCCTCGGCTTCAAACTCGGCGATGAGGTCGGCCTCCAACTCGTCCTCGTTTATGTCGAAGGCTTCTTCACCCTTGTCGGCGGCGCCATCGGTCTGGCCGATCGGGTTGGCGACCTTGAGGAGCGAGACGTCATCTTCATCGCCTGTGATCTGCGGCGTCGGGAGACTGCTGTCAACGTCCGCATGGTACTCGGCGCGCAGGCCGGATGGTCGACTCCTCGCCAAGCGCTGTTTCTTGGCTAGGTTGCCGGCGCTTCCACTAACGCTCTCGGGCTCGGACACTCCCTCGTCGCCGTCTTCGGCATGTTTCCGTTTGCGAGACCCGTCCTGTGATTCCTCGTCGTCTTCATTGCCTTCGGTCTCCTGAGAAGACGGTGGTTGGCTGTCGTCGTCTTCGTCGTCTTCGTCGGTCCCGCTGGCGAGGAACTCGTCCAGTTCCTCATCCGCCTCGCCCCAGTTGAAGGTCTTGAGGCCGTCAACTGGCGAGAGCTGCCCCTCGCCGAGTTCTGACGGCATGAGGCCTTCTTCTTCCACGTCAACGTCGTCGGGACTGTCCTCCTCGTCAAAATTAGCGTCATCGTCCGCGGGGCGGGCTTCGCCAGTCTCGCTCACGATCCGCAGCCCTCGAGTGTTGACACGGAGGGATCTCGAGCTGCCGGTCGCATTCTCGTCGCTCTCGTCTGCGTCGCTCAAATCCGTGTTCTCGTTTGACAACCCCGCCGTATTCAGACCTGCTGCCCCAGCCCTGTCCGCGGGATGGATGTCCACGAGGTAAGGCGTCTCGTCCACCCGTTCCCATCGCGTGAGACATTCGCCCAGCCAGTCTTGGTTCACGATCTTGATGCTGGGGATCCTGGCAGCTTGCCGTACCTTCTGGGTTCGTGGCCTGGAGCTGCTGATCACCAGGTGGGTGGTGTCTCGGCTGATCCTGTCGCGAAGTTCGGCGCCGAAGCTGGCTACTTGGAGGCCGATCTCCGATCGTTTTACTTCGACGCCCATCGGCACCAGACCCGACAGGACGATCCTAGTGCCTCGCAACACTTCGGCCTTGAGGGAGTCGAGAACTCGTCCCACGTCAGGAAGTGACGAGTGGGAGGTGCTCTTCTTCCGCTCGAACTCGTCGTAGTATAACTCGTGGAGCCTGGTCAAATGTCGCTCCAGGTATGACAATTCATAGTCGTTATCCAGGAGAAGATGGTGCCGTTGGTGGGGTTGGGAGGGTGGGGACTCGTGGCCGTTCTCCGTCTCGCTAGCCTTTTCGGCCTCTTCATCCTCCTTGTCCAGCATCTCTTGCATGTGGAGAAGCGGCCGGTCCTTAATCTGCTTCTCCAGCGTGCGCTCCTGCTCCTCGATTTGCTTCTTGGTCAGGATTGGGTCATCCCCTCCGCTCATGCTGGCAAGCTCCTCCAACGCCGATACCTTATCGCCCTTGGGGAGGTTGGAAGGACCGTTCTGTCTGGCCTGTGGGTTCGCGGCAATGCTGACGGGGTTGTCGACAGGCGGTGGCGGTAGCGGCGGCTGAGGCTGCGGGGGTGGAGCGGCCAGTAGATCCTCGCGTTTTGGTAAGAAGCTCGAGTTGATGTCGCCGATGCCCTTGAAGAAGTCATATGGGGTGACCTTGATGAGATTGGGCCTGTTACGCGGCCAAACGTCGGCACGGTCGTCGATGATGACTACCATGTTTGTGCTTACGGGGAACAGTCGCTGAAGGCTCTTGGCAGTCATGCTTCCGTTCTCGTCGCGGCTAATCACCCGGTTGCCGAACAGCTTCTGCTGCGGATCCACGATCTTCGCAATGTTCAGCGCATAGGCGCGGGTGCCCATGGTGTAGACGTGCAACTCGTACTTGTCAGCGACTTTGCTGAGAAACTCCTCGAGTCCAGGTCGCATCTTGATGTAGTACCAGCAGCCAGTAGCGAGACCGCGGGGGCCGTCGTCGTTGAGCTGGAAACTCTTGACCTCCTTGACGGATTCGTAGTTGGGATTGTTCGGGTCGCGCTGCCATTCTCCGATGGTGGGTTCTATGCAGGCATGGATGATGGTTTGATCGAGATCGACGACCAAGCTGAGTTTCCTCTGGTCGACGAGGCGCCGCTGCAGCTCCTGCTCGGCGCGCTGTGCTTGCAACTCGCTGACCGTCAAGCTAGTCTGGTCATGCGTCATGTTGATGGGAGCGCGCTCCGTGTCGCGGGCCTCGCTGGCCCAGTTGACCTCGGTCATGTCCTTTCCGCAGATGGCGCAGAGCCCCTGGAACTGCACCTCGTGGGAACAGGCCTCTTTGACAACCAGGCACGGCCCGTCGCTGCCGATTTCCTCGCCTTCCTTGACGTGCCATTGCAGAATCTCGCCGTCTGTGGGGCTGTCCCAAGTCGCGATGGTATTTTGGGTTTCCTCCCAGGTGTCGCCCCGGATATGGTCGCCTACCACTTTCTTCCACTTGAACGAATACTGCAGCATGGGCTCTTGTTTCTTCACGGTATCGCCGGGGGACTTGAGGAGCTTGACGATTGTGACGGGATATCGAAGCCGCTGGCCCAGGGGGATTGTCTTGGCCATTGTGATGGGTGTCGATAAATGCGTCGCGCGGGGCTCGAGCTATGGATGTTGGGTGTGGTCATGCACCGAGAGAGGTCTCTGCGAAATAAAATGGGGCTATTGTCAGCATAATCGAAGCAGTTGTAGGTTTGGTGACGCGAGGCGGGAGTGATTTCAATGAACAACGCGCAGCTCCAGGGGGAGAGGAGCCACGGGCAGGAACGAGTGAAGGCGAGCCAACGTGGAGTTTCTTGATTTGTTTTATTTTTATTTTCCTGGCCGGTGGCATCGAGGTGCCGGGAGAGCACAGTTCGTGTTTGCGTCCAAGCGGCCGCCGTTGGTCGAGGTGTGTGACAATGGGAAGGTAGGAGGGGAACTGACCAGGAAGCTTCCCCCGATGTGGAAGGAAGGAACTGTAACACGGAGGCGCGTCGGGCAACCAGTCTTCCCATCGCGCAAAACGCGCAGTCACGAGTGTCCGAGGCTGGGAAGGGAGTCTCCTTTCTTGTAGAACCGGCAGGTCGTGAGCGGCTGGGGGGAGGATCAGTTGTGAACGCGATCAAGAAAAGGCTTGCAAGGCAGCAGCTGCGCCAGGAGTGCTTGAAGAATAAATAAAATAAAATAAAATAAAACAATAAATACAATACCAATTCAAATGGCGCTTAGTGTCGCTGGCGGTGGGGGTGGGAAATGGAAATGGCCCAAGCTTCTTACCTGAGGCTCAAGGTGACAAATGACGAGGTGACACTGGGGATTTTAGCTCTGGGATTTAGCTCAATCTCCCAGGTTCTCGGTTTGCCAGAATTAACTGAACGGTTGCTCGGGGCCAAATAGATCGATACAAGGTCGTGACAGAAGTAGCACAGGCTACCGAATTGAGACCTTTGTCGGATGCTGTGGTGTGATGATGCAAACGATAATGCTTGGGAGGGGCGCGGAGGCTGCTGACACACCTGGCTCGGCAAACAGAGAGTGGGCCAGACTCGTGGTGGGAGGAGCTGGCCTTTTTGTACCTGGACGGGTGGGGAGATGATACGTACTTCCAACAGTACCTCTGACAAAATGGAAGGCAGTTGCCCGTCATCCTACCGTTTTCCGTTTGCGGGGTGAAAGAGTGGGGCACATCATACTGTTTGAGTGGTAGGCACGTACCTAACTTCTTCAATGCTGTGGCGCCACACAAAGAAGGACATTCATCGCCAGAGGAAATGCAAGTAATTTTGTCGTTGTCGTTGAATTTTATCTTGCTCTTGATTTCACTTTTCCTCTGCTTCCTTTAGAACAAAGCCCCACTTGTTACACGAAGCTGAACTATTCTTTGGCCTCGAGTTTTGAGGTACCTTTCAACCTCCGTTGTCTGTACCAGTACCATTGACTCGGATTATGGCAGGAAAGCCATGATTGGTCAATCAATCACATGCACGCATGGGCCGCTATTAGCGCCACATAGCTTTGGCAAAACCATGGCAAGCACGTTTTAAGAGTCAAAACTGGATCAAAAGCAGGATTGTGATTAACCTCAAAGAGTCTATTCCGCAAAATCAGTGGTTCCAACCTAGATAGCTTCCTAGGTAAGCAGCCCCGAGGCGTCTGAAACGGCTCCTCATTCCGCATCTTCCCCCATCCGCAGCCCTTCCTTGCTCCGCATCACGTCGACCAGCAACAACCCGCTCCTTCCGTTCCTCATGACCGTTTCCCCGGTTATTCCTTCCAGTAAGGCGGGCCAGGCCACCGTATATTGGTGCGCGTTCGTTCACAATTGTGTCGCCAACACTTGCTGTAATACCATAAAAGCTGGCCATTGGGCACTACGTACTGGTATTCCACGTTTACCAGTTCGATGCCGCTAGAGCAGGGCTTGATACTATTGATCTGCTCCGAGCATGTTTCGAACTTGGGTTCCTCAGCTAGATAGCATCCGCAACCCTTCCATCGGCGAGATATTCGACGGCACATGATCGTAAATGGCGATGCTTCAGGCGAGATATTCGAGACTTGGGTGTGGAAGTTTAAGTGTTCTTTGGGGGTATCTGCTGCCTTGTGTAGAGACGATTGAAGACAATCAACAGTGTCTAGCAGAGAGAGGGGTTACTTATGCTTTCTACAACTCAAGCACAGCAATTCCCGTGATAGGTTCCAGGGACCTATTCACTGCACCCCAAGAGCGACGATGGCGTTAGCAGAGAAGGTCTCATCGGATTAAGAGAATGTGTGTCGTGTCGTGTCTTGACTTTGCTACTGCGAGTTGACTACTTTAATCTAATAGACAACCTTGGTCTAGAACTGTAATTCAAAAAGTCCGAGTTATACACTTAGCTGGGAGTGGAAGACGTCTTACAGACGAGAATATGAGTCAGATCTCAAAGTTACTTGAAGGAAGTAGAAAAGGACATTATATTCTGTTCCACAAACTCAAGATAATTACAATTAATAGTCATATGTGACTTCAGTCACCTATAACGAACCCACCGCCAACGCAGCAAACAAAGTGATTGATTTCCTCAGCAAGGTAATGTCAGCAAGTCTCTGTCCTCTCTTCAGCTATCTGTTTGTTGTTCGTCGTAAATTTCCGTTGGAGCATTATCCCTCCCAGGAGGTACGTTACAGTTATGTTGACGAAACGGACAAATTGCGCTCCTTTCGCTCGTCACAAAGTAATAGATAGATTATCATAGCGCACAGAGTCCCCTGAATTTCTAGACATTACTCTATCGCAACACTACTCTATGGCGATTCTGTATGTAGGTAGCTATGTATAAAATCTGTAGTAATGTCCCTCTTCATGTTCCGTTTCACAAACCTCCAAGAGCAAAGCATTTGTGAACCCAGTGGGACGACCAGTCTTGATTCGCGGGACGAGAAGGAAAATGCCAAAGAGACGAGGTAGGATGAGGCTCAAACAAGGAAATGATATTATAAAAAATCCAAATTCCCAAGCTGTGCCAGCCATAACAAAAATCAACGCATCGCCATGCTATTCATCAGCAATCGTGTCGTGTCTTAACACCTAGCCAAACCCAACTGGTTCCCATAGTCTATTTCGCCGTTGTCCCGGTCTGTTGCAAGGAGAGAGAAAAAAGAAGAAAAGGAAAAAAAAGAAACCGACATATCGATACTGTCCCCTCACCTCCCTCCCCCCAAAGCCCGACTCCCCAGGGCCAGCCCCCTCGGCGACCCCAGCACCATCCCCTCAGCCACGGTACGGCGCAGCGCAGCGTCCGGATCCGGGTCCGGGTCCGGGTCCACGCCGACAAAGGTCCAGCTCTCCTCCTCCTCCTCGGCCTCGTCGTCGCCGTCGCCCCCGTCGGCGTCCGTGCTCGAGGCCGTGTTGTCCCGCCGCGACGCGTTCCTGCCCGCCTTGGTCTTGATCAGGCTCGTGGCGTACTCGAGATCGCGGTATATGCACTGGATGGCCGCGTCCACGCCCTTCTCCTGTTTTACGGGGTTGGGTTAGCTGGTGAAAAGACAGAGGAGATAGATGAAGGGGAAAAGAAAAGGGGGGTGGGGGATAGAAGAGAGAGAGAGAGAGAAAAGACCAACCTTCCGGATCTGCTCCCCCAGAACCCTCGCCTTGACAATCATGCGCTCGCTATGCGTCGCCTCCCATAGCGCCCGCGCAAACGACGTGGCCCCCCACTTCTTGAGGCAGACGCCGACGCCGAGGTCCTCGACGCGCGCACCGAAGAAGAACTGGTCGCCGAAGAAGGGCCGCACAATGGTGGGGATCCCCGCCCGCAGGCTCGCGCCCGTCGTCCCGGACCCGCCGTGGTGCGCCGCCGCGTCCATGCGCGCGAATAGCCAGTCGTGCGGCGCCGACTTGATCAGGAACACCTCGGGCGGCAGCGTCGGCTCGGGCTTCTTGTTCTTCTCGCGCTCCTTGTCCTGGTCCTTCTCGTCCTCCGTCTTGGCCTCCTGCTCCGCCTCCGTCTCCATGCGGTCGCTCCACCCCTTGCTCAGCACGCAGCGGACGTCGGCCCTGAGGACGGCGTCGATGACGTCCTGGGTCATCTTGGCCGGGTCCGGCACGATGATGCTGCCGAACCCGACGTACACGAGCTTCTTCTCGTCCCTGCGCGCCTTCTCGATAAAGTCCGTCAGCTCCTTCGGCGGCGTCCAGTTGCCCTTGCCGTCGCCGCCCTCGTCGAGGAACCAGTACCCCGTCACCCGGATCCAGTCGCTGTAGTCGAGCGGCGGCGGGACCACAAAGGGTGAGAAGTTGTAGAGGAACGGCACCTTGTTGGGCTGCATCTTCTCGAGGTTCGTGTTGGGGAGGCCGAGCACGTTGTTCCGCCAGCGGTTGACCTGGTGGGCTATGGCCTTCCAGAAGACGTTGTCGAACATGACGTAGGTCACGTAGTTGTACGCGCCGCCCATCTTCTGGCCCGGCATGATGAAGGCGTGCGGGTACGCCCGGGTCCGCGTCCACGGCATGGTGAAGGCCCGGAAATACGGGATGCCCAGGGCCTCGGCGATGTGGATGCCCGCCATCGCGCTCGGCGACTCGATGAGCAGGTCGCTGTCCTTACATGCCGTCCACGAGCTCGCCAGCAGCTCGTCGAGCCAGCCGCGAAACTTGGAGTTGGCCTCCTTCAGGAATGCCCAGGTAAAGGTGCCGTTCTGGATGCAGATGCGCATGAGCTCGTTGGGGTCGCCGTCGACGAGGCCGAACTCGATGCCGTGGCCCTCGATCCAGCCCTGGAATTCGGCGTGCGTCGCAATTTTTACCTTGTGCCCATCGGCCATGAGCCCCTTGCACAGGGCAATGTACGGCTGCACATCGCCTCTCGAGCCGATAGTAAGACAGGTGATGCGCAGGGGCTCGGGCGGCTTGAAGTTCAGGAAGGAGGCCTTGGGGTCGTCGAAAAGGATGGTTGGCGTGTCACTGAGGACCGACGTCTCTCGGGGCAGCTTGATCTCGTGGTCCGGGTACTCATCCAGACGCGCCTCTTGGAGGGCGTCGCGCTCGGCAACTGCAGCCTCGGCGCTCTCGATCTCGTCACGGCCCAGGAGTCCGGACTCCTTCAGATAGTTGGTCGCTTCAAGGTTTTGGATGAGGGTAACGGCGCAGTCATCGCGGAGCTCGCCCTTGCCGAACTCGAAGAAGATCTCTTCGTGGCCACGGATGATGACCACAAGACCCGAGTAGCCGAAGCGGAAACCTTTCTCCTTCTCGACATTCTCGATGTCCTTCAGCGGCAGGATGAGCTTCGTCCGCGTGCCGGGCAGCAGGCTGCGGAAGCAGAAGTGGTTGTCACCGATGTAGACCTTTCCGTACAGCGGCAAAACCCGCATCAAGTAGCCGAAATAGGCGGCCTGGAGGTTCTCACCGTCCGGCAAGGCAAAGTGAGCACGGAAGCGGTTACCCGATGCGGCCCGGTCTTCGGGATCGTCGTCGTTGTCCTCTTCGTCGGTCCTGAAGCCGGTGGGCTCGTCGTAATGCTTCTTCCCGCCCTTCCACATGCCCGAGACCTTCTCGACGTAGCCCATGGACTCGGTTGCCAGGAGGTTGCTCATCCGACGCGACTGACGGTTCAGGTAGTCGGCGAAGGCCCCGGCCCGCTGCAGGGGATAGGTGCCCATCTTGGTAATGCTCTGAAGTGTCGGTGTCGCGGGTGCTCCTTCTCCGAAGGCGGGATTGGCGACGTTGCCGGTAGTGGCGGCATGCCGAGTGGAGAGTGGGGCCAGCTTAGGAGCCCTGCCCGCGCGTCTCCCCAGTTGGGCATCGGGGTCGCTTGCTCGCGATGGCGACCTCGACCGCCGGATGGTTGGGCTGTGAAAGACGTCGCTCCCTCTGAGGATCTGACTCGCGGATGGACCGTGATCGTCGCTGCTCGATGTTACCAATGCGGACAGGCTGGCCTGGCTTGGGTCCTCCAAGCTCTGGACGTACGAGTCACTGCTGCCTCGCATTTCCGGTCGTGTGCGCCTGTCGTCGAGTCTGTTCTTACTGTGAGGGCGGCGGCCATCGCTGAAGCTGCGGCGGGGGGACTCGCTTAATACGCCCGTGATCTGGCTGACGTCGAGGCTTCGGCGGCTGCTGAACGGCTTGAAGGCATCGAAGCTGCTTCGGGTAAAGTCACCGCTCGCGCGAGGGCTTGAGGAGCTGGACATGGGCACCAAGGTAGCCCTGACGTTATCGGCCAGTTTGCTGGGAAGAGCCTTGGACAGGCGAGTACCACTCATGGAAGACCTGTTCGAAGACGGGGAAAGGGGGCTTCCTGGTGCTTCGGACCGGCGCGGCACGCCAAGGGCCTTGTTGTCTTCGCGCGCCTCGGACGAGTCCTCGATGAGGATCTTGAGCACGCCGAGAGCTTCCTTCCCGAAGCTGAAGAAGGAAAAGAAGTACTGCGGGAGGGCATGTATTAGCTTGCGACAAGCATATGTTTTGTGGTCTCTACCCAGAGCAGAGCAAAACTCACCTCGTCGATAGCATAGGTCTCGTCGTTGTCAATCACCCGGATCTTGCAGGTATCTGCAAACTCGAGCATCTGTGTCTCTTCGATGTCAATCACGTTCTCAATAGGTAGCGAGATCTTCACGCTGTCGCCATCGTTGTGCGACCTGAATATGACCCGCTGGAGGCTCTTGACCCATTCCTTCGCACTCGGCATGCTGTCGGCTCTGAAATGGTAGGTTCGGTGATGGGTGACGAGGGAGAAGTTTAGGCCTTCCTTCTCTTTGTCTATGATGCTCGCCGAGATGCCGTACCTGAGGTCTATTTGACCGCTGGGGAAATAGAGATTCTGGGAGTCGCGATAGTACGACAGGACGTCCCCCTTCAGGCGGAACCAGTACCGGTTGTACTTGGGGTTCCTCTTCCCGCTCTTTGACAGGTAGCCCGACTTGGCGACCTCGTGTGCCTTCTTGGGGAGGTAGGCATAGAATGCGATGTGTCTCGCCGTGATGTACATGTACCCTTGGAGGAGAACGTGTTGGAGCAGCCAGCATGGGTACTCTATATGGTGTTATGGTCAGCATGGGTCACAGCACACGAGCCCCGCGAATGTGCAGCTCTCGCTCGGGTAGGTAGGGTAGTTGCCCACCCTCTATGACTTCCTCTGGATGGTCAAACTCAAATATTTCCTTCAACTTCTTGGCCAGCTCCGTGGGCCCAGCGTCGCCCGACTCGGCATCGCGTCTATGGTCGCTGGATGACCTCTCCAGATCGAAACTCGGCCGCGCAGCCATCTCGGCCCTTGCCTCGAGCATCCTGCTCATGACCGGGGCTAGGCGGCCCTCGGCACGCGTGACCTCTATCGCCGGCGACGGGGGAACAGGAGAGCTGGCCGACGAGTCGTCCTCAGGTATCTGTTCTTTGATGGCCTTTCCTTTCGATTTGGATCGCGATTTGATGGACAGCTTTGACAGGACGGGTACGGAGCGGAGGAGTCTGCTCTCGGATAACTTGCGTCGGTGGTGAGTCGGCTTGTTCGGTAGTGTGCCTGGCTTTTTGAGTACGGTGGTCTGAGCGATAGTTTGGCTGATCCCATCACGACCATCTCTGCGCCGTGAACCTTCGCCGTGCCGAAGCTCTGTCATGGACATGGGGCTCTCGTCATCCTCATCACCCTCCTCATCACTGCTGTGGCCTTCAAATCTGTTGGTAAAGTCGGCTCTGCTCCCCGCCGCCGCGATCAGACCAAATATGCTCTGGTTCATGTTCATAAACATGCCTCCCCCCATTCCCTGCGGCTGCAGCACCTCCTCTTCGACATCTGTGTCGCCACCATTATCCTTCAGCCGCTCCGGCAGATCCATGGTAGGGGTGTGATGTCCTTCGCGACGTCTTTTCTGAAGTTTGTTCGAGACACGGCGGCCGCTCAGTATGTCGTGATGGCTAGCAGCGGCGGAAGAGCGTTTGGGCTGCAGGGCGGGAGGTAGTCGTTGGGAAGCTTGATGGGAAGCTTGATGGGAAGCTTGTTGAGGCGCCGCGCGTGGCGACAGGGGAGACTGAAGAGGAGGATGGTGTGCCTGCGCCCGCGCCTCTGCCTGTGTCTGTGCGGGTGTGGGTGCGGGTGCAGGTGCGGGTGCGGAGGCAGAGATGTGTGCCGGCGTCGAGGGAGAGGAAGCCATGGTGGGGAACGTTGTGCGTTGTCACCTCGATAGGCAGTCGCGCGAGTCACCGGGACAGATCCAGACCCCGGATTTGATGGATGCAGCCAGGGGGGATGGCTTTAGTTTGCTTTCAGGGGCTGCACAGCTGCGAGCCTGCAGGATGATGATGGCAAGATTTACCAACGGCGAAGCAGATGGGACGGTGATGCACTGATGCCAGCCTCCGGGCCGTTTTGGTTGGCCTTTGCTCCGTTTGAAGCCGGGCCACAGCAGGCAGTGGCGTCGGCAGAGGTGTCGACAGCGTCGGGGAAAAGGGTGGTATTCAGCGGTGCCACATCAGACAGGATCAAAATAACCCTCTCGATACAGGTACGTGGACAGCAGAGGACGGCATGACTGCACTTTCGGCCATGAAAAGAAGAAGTGCATGAACGGGGATTGGCAGGGATGCGGATCCGGCACCAGACCCTGGCACGCCTCCTGGGCCACTCCACTGGCCTGGACCCGGGTTCTTATCGATAAGGCCAAGCTCCATCCAAGGCACTACCAAGCCGAGCATGCGTTATCTGACTCGTCACTTCGGTTCACCCTTGGATCACATGCCTGGTACGTGCTCTTTTACCCACACATGATTTGCCCATCCAGGTGCCTCGCCGGAGTCGCGGAAAACACCAGTGCCCGTTATCCGCCGAGTTATTCATTGACAGGACGCGAGTTAGTGGAACAAGCTGATGATGCTCTAGACTCGTGTGTAACATAACTATCTATCAGTACATACATATCGCGTAATACACAGCACAGTGTTCTCCTCAGCCGCTCACATCCAAAGGGAGAGCTTCCCACTGCCATTCCCGCCAGCAACCCAGTCCATGGTCGGGTGGAAATGCGCCACCGCCGGCACAGCCGTGATGCCGTCGCCGCCAAGCTGAGCCAGCTGCTCGCCGTCGGCGGCGAACACGTCGACGAAGCGGTTCATATTACCGATGACGAACCTCTGCAGCCCGTCCCGGGGCCTGGCCTGCCACTGCGGCTTGAGAATCGTCACCCACCGGCCCGTCTGGTTGTTGTGTCGCACCGAGTGCGCCGGCCCCATGTCCTCGGCCGCGAGGCTGTGGCCCGCCGCCCACGAGCCCGCGTCTGCAAAGTTGTAGATCTTGATCGTGTCGTCGTAGCTCGAGGTGGCGACGTGTCCCCCCCGGCTCCAGCTCGCGTGCGAGACGGAGAGACGGGATTCGTGCTCGCCGACGAGGGCGGGCCGCCGCTCGTCGCCCCGGCCGCTCACCTTGCGCAGGTCCCAGATCTTGAGGGTCCTGTCCAGGGACGCCGTTGCGACCAGGTGCGGGTGCAATGGGTGAATCGAGAAACCACCGATCTTGTGGCTGGTCAAGGCCCAGATTTCCGCGTCGCCGGCCTTGGTCCGCAGGTCGTGTCGCCCTAGAGAGCCCTGTAGGGTGGAAAATAGGATGATGTTGGGTTCGGACGTCGACATGTCGAGAGCACTGATTGGCGCGTCTTCGTCGGCATCTACCGGCGCATAGACCTGGGTCGACAACCCCTTCTCAAGATCAAGCTTGCGAATGGAGGAATCGTATGATGCAGAATACACGGCATTTGCGTCGACGGGAGAGAAGTGAAGCGAAGAAATAGTGCGAGAGTGAGTCGTGAAAGCGGATATGACGGGGTCGGAATGGCTTTCCTCCTCGTCCTCGTCGTCTTCGATCTTCAGTGGTTCTTGCGATGCGTCGAAAACCCCCATCGCGCCCTCCTTGTCGCCAGCAAAGATGATGGGTTTCTCTTCTGTAGGGTGGAATCCCATCGAGTATATCCGCTGCGGGGCGAGCTTGATGTCTGTCACGGTATTAGCAGAAGCCTTGGATGACGGACGAATTGGGGGCGTGGCTTGCCATTTACTGCCCACTTCTCGTAGAGCTTCAAGCCGCTCATGCGAAGTCTCAGCTCCTTCAGGTCCTTATTCGTCGTCTCCTTCACGTCGTCGTCAGTAAAGGTCCGCACTCCAGGCTGGGCTCCACGCGCGGGCATCCCAAGGCCCAGACCCTTAAGCCCGGCCATGCCATCGACGCCGTTTTCCCACTTGCGGCCCTCGACCTTGATGTCCCCGAGATTGAGGTCCCCGCTCACGCGCAGCCTCTTGAGCCTGGCCTTCTCCTCCTCGGCCTCGGCCGCGACATCGGCCTTGCGCTTGAGGACTTCGGAATCGGCATCGAGGCCAGCGAGGCGGCTGCTCTGGCGTGTCGGTCGGGCAGACTCGCGCTTGACGGGCTCCCGTGCGCGTTTGCTGCGGGAGGTCGTCGATGGTCGCTTTACCGGCGTCGGCTTCGGGGCGGGGATGATTTTCGCTGCGGTGGTGCTAAGGTCACGCAGGAGAGCATTATTAGCAGCAATGTTCTCGAGTCGCCTTCGCTCGAAGGCACTGATGGTGCCCTCTTGCTTTTTCGGTGCCATTTTTGGCTGGCGACGCGCAGGTTGAGGAGCAAAATTGGTGGAGATCTGACGAGCACGCGTGGAGAAAATACTGATACGCGTCTGGCCACGCCCAGCAGGGTTCAGCTTAATGGGTTCCAGTTATTAATGAGGGGAACCCTGGAAGGGGGCGGAAGGGCGCGGAGGGGAAGTGGGCTCAGTGGAGTTCGGGGTATCCGTAACCCGAATGCGAACACCATTGTCCCGACGTCTTTTGTCATGCATTGCTGCTTTCATTGAGCAGGAGGTGGCTACGTGAGCAATTGAGTTTCAAGAGAAAAGAAGAAAAGGAAAGACGAATATGACAAGGGGCAAACCCCTGGGAAGCAACAGCATCAAGGCTAAACTCGAGTTTCCACTGTCGAGATGTTGCTATTAGACGGGCAGTTAGGCTCTCGTAATTGGCACCGAAGGTAGAGAAGATTAAACCTCCATGAAGAAACCCTAAACCGAGTTTAAACTGTAAAGCCGAACCTTCAGGTCATACATTTCAGGGCGATTGGAACCGGTGACTTACTCCCAGTCGTATAAATTGGTATTCCTCTCCCATTGTTCGATCCTTCCCTTCCTCTACATTAGCAAGTCTGTGATGACACCTTTGGTGACGTCCTTGGGGAAAGCTGAGGTCGACTGGTACGCTGCAGGGGACAAGATTGCCCCCTGCCCCTCTTACCACCCTTGGAAACGTTGTTTGGATCGTCGCTACCTCCGCCACTGCTTGCACTTTTCTCTCCCCAGTCCATCCAGTGGAAGGACTGTGGGATAGCGGTACTTGACACAAAATTGCAACGGCTGCCTGTGTGTCAAAAGGGCATCGAAAGCAGTGGAGAGGGCAGTATATTCTGTATTGAATTGATCCATCACCTAACCCAATACGCTTCCCCTGGCTATTCCTCAAAACATATGTCTGTACTGTACCTCCATTCCACAGTCCCACATGATCGTATAAATGTACAACACCAAGCGATGAACTGTGAAATATTTGTATCTGTCAAACTCTGTCATCATTGTTTGTGAGTGGGTTGTCTAGTAATACTTACCCAATGTTGCACAGATAACACGCCGACAAGTGTTTGACGGTTGTGGCCTGTATTTCCATAATTACTTTCTTGTCGCTCCATGTCGCCACTCTCAGGGCCGGATATTGTCAGCATACGCTTCCCATTGCGAAACCCAGAGCGGTGTGCATCCAATTGATGCCACACTCTCAACTCCCTCCTCGAAGAGACGAGTAGTATGGTCTAACCACCCCATTGCTGAGAATACGAACAGTCGTTGGTCGGCATACGAAGATAGCTGCACGGCGAAAACAGCTTGACCTCGAGTTTGAACTAGTGAATCTAGCAGGACAACGAGGCGGAAGCTGGTGCTGGTATTCGGAAGGGTTCGTTCAGTAATACCACTATTGTACGGGGGTTTCCTCTTTTTATTTTCTCCTCTTTTTTCTTCCTCCCCGTCCCCCCCTTTTTGTAACAAATACAGCTACATTGAAATCCTCCTCTCGATCATTAAATAAGTTCAGTTCAGCTACTTACATCCATAATCCCGTGTTAAGATCCCTTCCCACCCCCCGTTTCCAAACCACCGTCCCCCAAATGTTCAAAGATCAACCTTCACAGCAATCATGTTCCGCGAAAGGAACCCCGTCACAAAAAGCCAAGCCTTGCGCTTCCCGCCCTCCTTCTCGGGGTCAATGGCAATCAGCACCGCCGCGCTCGCGCTCCTCATCCTCTCCCCGTCGTCCTCAAACAGCAGCCTCGTCTCCCAGCCGTCCACTTTCCCGGCCCCATCCCCCTCCGTCGTCGCAACCGGCGGCCTAGCGTACCACACCATGATAGGCTCCATCGCCGCCGGGTCACGGCACGTCTTCTGCAAGTCCACCGCCCTCGACAAGCCCGGCAGGACGAAGCCGCTCGCATCACCACCACCGCCATACCCAGCAAATGGATCGGAAAAGTAGCTCGGATTATCAATGATGGAGTCCACGCTAACAGCTCCCGCACCCAGGCTGATAGGTGCCTCGCCGGAGCCAGGCGGAGGCACGGTGCCGACGTGCAAGACGCCGCTGCAGCAGCTACCGACGAGGATCTCGTCGGGGGTGCGGCCGTGGCCGAGGCCGTTGTTGTTGTGCAGGCCCGAGACGGCCACGGATGCCTCGGCCGGGGAGTCGGAGTCGGCGAGGAGGCGCACGTGGATGACGGTCGACCAGGTCGCGCCCGAGTAGACGTCCTCGAGCAGGCGCAGGTGGCCCTCGCGGTAGTGGTGGTCGTTGGTGACGTAGAAGGAGGTGGGGCTGACGGCGACGATGTCGTTGGGGGTCGCGATCAGCGGGTGCTGGACGGTGCGGATGTGGCGCGCCGAGGAGGAGCCTAGGGTGTGGTGGAAGATCTCGATGCGCGAGGCGGCCTTGTTGGCGATCTTGGATGCCTTGTCGTTGTCGTCGTCGCCTTTCTTTACATCGAGATACTCCTGGCCCGGCACGTGGTTCACGGCGAAGATGTAGACGGCACTACCGTCTTTCGACTCCGGGTCCGTGATCACGTCGATGCCGTGGGTGATGAACGGGCCATCGAAGTTCTCGAAGCTGAGCCTCCGAGACTTCTTGGTCTGTTGGTTGCAGTTAGCATCTAGGAAACAAACATGCTATTTGACGCGGGATCCCAGTGAGTTGACCTACGTCTGGGTCGACGACATGGATGGAACCCCTCGCCGTTGCGCCCAAGGCGGGGTCGGTGAAGGTCGCAAGGGGCGGGAACCAGGCGAACCGAGTGTCCTCAGAGTCCTCACAGGCCGTGAAAAGGCTGTGGCTGGGAGCATAGTAGTGGACGTCCTCGCAGTGGACCGTGTCATCGATGAAGACGATGTCGTCCGGACTCGCGATCAGCGTGTTCTCCGGCGTCCGGAAAGCGCCAAGCACAGTCGCGCCGCGACGTATCGAGGGCCCGTATAGATACGCGAGGAGGATGGGCACGAGGACCGTTAGCACGGCCCTGGGCGATGACAGGATCGAGCTCATCTTCGTATGACGCTAATCAATCACCAGTGCAGTTTGTTTACCATTGAGGACCGCACCGGCGCCAAAAATAAATGGTATTCTGCGTCGATTTATTATTGACGGTTGAGATGCCGGGTCAATTGGATCTGTGTCAAATGTGGCGCTTCCCCTCATTGAGGGGATTGCCTCGGCATTGAATGAGGATGGCCTGACATCACAACAACGATGATGGACTTGGCGCCACTCTTAACGTCGATCATACACTTGGCAGGAGAGCTACTGCGGCACATGGACACGGAATTGAATACATAAATATGCATTCACACAAGCTCCCAAAATACATAATTCGTAATTTCATGTGACTACCAGTTCTAGCGCTCCACCGCGGTGGTGACAACAGTCCCATCGCAGTACTCAGTCCAGCCATCCAGGTCCTCGGTCTTGAGGACGGTGCTGAAGTTGGGGATCCCCACATCGGAGCCCTCGCAGTTCAGCTTCCGGTCTTTCTCGGACACGGACTTGCCGGCGCCGGCCGGGTACTCGATGTGGAAGACAGGCTTCAACGAGGCGAGGAATTTGGTGTAGACCTTGCACTCCTTTTGGTCGACGCACTGCTCGTTAACCGCGAAGTGGACGACGTCCTGGACGTCGTCGATGATGGCGCCGGCGTTCTTCAGCCCGATGGCCATGTTATACTGGTACGCCTCCGCGGCGAGATACTCGACGAAGCTGATCGAGTCGGCCTCCTTCAGGCCCAGGCCGTTGTCGTTGTCCTGTCGCAATGGTCAGCGGGCAGACTTGACAGCGGCTGGGAGGAGAGACTTACATAGGCGTCCACGTTGTCGGGGTCGATGGCGTCACAGCCCATCCGGGCAGCCAGGGCGATCCGGTCATCCATGATGCTCCGGACATTCTTGCTGTTCAAGTTGAGCCACTTCTCGCCCGGCCAGTCGGGGAGCTCCTTGCCCATGTCGGCAGCCTCGAACCGGCTGGCATCAGGCCGCTCGGGCTCAAAGGTGCCGGCGCTGAAGTAGCAAATGACCTTCTTGCCGAGGCCGTGCAGGGTGTTGATGGCGGAGTCGTCGATGCCGTCGTTGGTGTTGTCGAAGAGGTCGATGTCGAAGATCTGGATGGTGGACGGCACAACGGTCTCAGACAGGTTGAGGGTGTTTGAGAGCACAATCTGCCACGGGGCGCCCAACACTGGCTTCCAGGTCTCGACAGGGATGGAGGCCCAGAAGTCCGTATCGTACCTCGAGATCATCCCGTGGCAGACGCCGGCAAAGGTGGCCAGGCCGATTGTGAGGGACGGCGGGATTGTCTTCATTTTCCACTTGGAATGGGTGCAAGGCGGGTAAATGGGGTGGATGATATGATAGGAAGTTGGTGGTTGGTACTTGTACAATACAAAAGGGGGTGAGTTGTGAGTTGGGAATCATGAAGTCTTTTAACGACCTGTACGGGGAGTAATGACTGCCAGAAATTAAGGCATTGTCCGGCCTCCAAATTCCAATAATATCACCGCCATGGTGCTTCCGACGGCTGCCTGGAAGGATCTAAGACTCGGTCTTGGCGGGAGAGTGCGGAAGGATCGCCTTTACGGCACGGCCCATGACCAGATGCCAGGAGCCGTAGGAGATCTCTCCACAGGGTCGCGGGATGGGACCGGGCGCCAGTAAAAATGTCACCAGAAATCCAGGTCTGCCCAATCAATGGACACGTGTGCAAGAAACTTCGCTTTTCCATTTATTCGGCTGCCTGATACCTGCCGCGCGGCCGCATTGAGGCTCATTCGCTAAATGCCGCCCCCCCTGGTTGGCGTGGTGACTGCCGGAATCACCACCCAGGGGGGAGGAGATCGACAAAACTATCAACCTCTCCGAGCGCAGGGGTGTCACACAAGCTCCTCGATTAGCACACCACACTAGTACATGTAGTAGTTAGCTGTCTAGCTCCGAATGCCCTCAGGATTTCCACTGAGCTTGTGCCCCAGGAAAAAAAGAAAACAAACGTCATCATCTGGCGACGCGCCTCCTGGAGGAGTTGCTCAGCTTCTATTGCATCCATACGTAGCTCCATTAGACTGTCCCATGGCGGAAAAGTGGCCACCCATCCAAACACCTGTCGCGGCGAAGAGCTTGGTCAGGTAGCGAGTTGCATCACGATGAGCGAGATATTCCTTGTTAGGAGGTGTTTCCAAACCATTGGTGGCTGGGAGACCCTACATACGCATGTACACGACATTGGTGGGCGCGCCCGAGGAACAAGTAATTAATGGCCAGCCATACGACTCAATGGTACCCATCACACGCCACCTTCCTCGCCCAACAAGTGCCTGCGCCGAGACTCGAGTGGGAAGTTCCCATGTCTCCGAACCCCCTGGCAAATTCGGTTTGCCAGGGATGCACAGATGTTTGCTGCTGCGCAAGCGGGTGCTCCCGATGCTCTGGCTTCGGACAGACATTCTCCCCGAAACAGCCGAGCAGCAGGTGGTGGAGTAGTCACGATCCGACGAGTACGATCGCCGACCGACTCTCTCATGAGTTTCTGCATATGGCCCTCACCCCGCTATCCCACAGCTACGCCGTCTCGCATCCGGCAGTTCCGAATCCGCGACTGGACGGCAGGCCCAAACTCGGCCGCAGTCAAGATCTCGCCGACGAACGGGCCCTTGTCGCCGTCGGCATATGGCTGCAGGCTCTCCTGTGCGCTGACGAGGATGCGGCGGGAGTGCTCGTCGTAGGACAGGCCCGCGTGGTGCATCTCGTCCCAAAGGCCGAGGACGGCGGGGACGTTGTTGTAGCGGTACCAGAGGATGCTCATGAGGGAGTTGTAGAACGACGTGGGTACCCCGAGGACGTAGCTGGCGAGGCCGAGCTGCTTGATGCGTGGGAGCATCGAGAGCGCGAGGGGCGAGGACTTGGCGAAGCCCTGGTCGAAGAGTCGGAGGGCGTGGTGCAGAAGAGACGGGTATAGAGGCCCGTGTACATCCATGCTGAGCTCGCAGCTGTCTTCGGAACCAACGTTCTTCTTGCGGCGATGTTTCTTGGACTTCCCTTTCGACGGTTGCTGGCCCTCGCCGATTCCGAGCTTGTCCACCATGGAGAAAACTTCCGCTTCCAGTATGTCCCATAGCTCAAAGTCTGTCTTCGCCTCGCTCATCTTCTGTTCTACGCGACTCTGTTCTTGGCGCCGCAGCTCGTTGTCGTGACTGAACTGTGACTCCAGGGTGATGCCATCGCCTTCTCTTCGCTCGGTCACCTTTTCGCCTCCCCCTTCCAAACCAGCTCCTACACCTCCATGTCCATGCTGTCCGAGTGGTTCATTGAACCCCAGAGCTAATTTTGCTGCTCTTCGAAGGCTGGGTGGGAATCGGAGCAGGGCTTCAGCGCGGTCGGTCGCCGTGAAGTTCTGGTCCAGCGAGCCCGCATGGTCCCTCGCCGCTTCCTGGATTATGATATTTGCGGGATGAGCGCCTCTATGGCGACGCCTCGTACTTGAGTCGAAGGCCGGGTCGGATTGTCTGCCGTTTCCCCGGGATGCGATCTCTTGGAAGATGCGATCGAAGGCGTCGCGCTCGGTTGGCGTGATCGTCGACCGCCCATCCTCGGGCTCTGGAGGCTCCCCCGACTCTTCCTCCGTGAGTTCTACATCGGCGGGCAGCTCGAACGGGATGGCATCGGGTCCCGTCCGGTTCTGTCGAGCTGGCTTACGGGATCGCGGCGGAGCAGTATGGGACAGGCTTCGGAGGGTGAGAGGCCGGAAAATGGCTCGTGGAAGGCGCTGGAGAGTCCTGGTCTGATACAGTAAAGGGAGTAGCGTCGTGGACATGACGCCTGAATTTTCCCTCCTGTGTAAGGTAGGAGGCGTTGCTTCTCCAAGTGTTCAAGATCGAGGAATGGAAAATTCCCAGAGACACGCACAGACCGCCACAGACTGACACACAGACCAAGTAGTTTCCTATGATGCGAAGTCTCGTGACAGCGCGAAGTGGGTTCTCCTCCTAAACCTTGTATCTAGCTTTTCGACTACGTTCGACTGGTATTGCCCTCCAGCTGTCATCAACGAAGATAAAAGCCACCCCAACAACCATCCCCCACATCGAAGAGACATATGCTAACGGTGACGATGTTGACAGGCTACCGGAGCTCCGTATTCAAGGGGGATATGCAATGCACGATGGACAATACAAGCAGATCGGTCTCAGCTTGCGACTGCCTGTCGTCTGGTCTGGCTGCCCCTTCCTTCACCCCATTCTCTGCCTTCTGGTCACACTTCTTATCCCCTTAAAGAGCTGCTGTCGAAGTCGACGGCCTTCTTGCTCTTGGATTCGACTTGAAGCCCACTGGGCCTGGCGACAGCCATGTTCTCTGATGCTGGTCGCATCACGCCTCCTGGAGAATGTCCGCTTGAAGGTCAAGGACCTGTCTCCAATCGCAAAAACGGTGGCCAACTCTCTGGACCCTTTCAATCTTTTGTTCACCCTCTCAAAGTCTTCATCTGCCCGTTCCCAAACCTGCGGCTGCCACAAGAGCACCGTCGTGGCCCCCTTCTGCTTCAGCACATTGGTGTCGGTCCTTCATTCCTCGACTGACAACCTCGGCACCCTCCACCCAGGCTGGCGAGGCCATCTTGCCTCGCACAGACAGGGATGGGGTCATCTATGCACCAGCCAGAACTTCAGTTGTCATGGTTGCGACTACGCATAGTTTCATTGCTCGCTGCACCGACCGACCTCGCCCGAACTCGATCGGCGAGCTTGGCCATGACATGGCCCTGCCCGTCAAACCTGTGTCTGTCGACGTCCCCATTCCGGCGAGAATCCCGCCTCCCACGGCGCTCGTTCCGAAGACGAGTGCGGGGTGGCAAAATTAACTTTCTGGGCGTCAAACCTTGCTTGTCCGCTGTCCAGAAGGCACCCTATATGTCCAAGTAGGATAGAGGGTCAGTAACAAGCCCGCCTAGCTCAGCGGCAGAGCGCCCCAGAGTATTATTCTTATCCCTAGAACTCAAACTCAGGGAGGTGCGTGGTTCGACTCCACGGGGGGGCATTTCTTTTTTTCTTCTTTTTTTGCCGTCTTCTTTTTTATTCCCTCTCCTTTTCCTCTCCCGTCTACAGGGCAAGGCCTTGCATTTTTCCTCAAGAATGTTGAAGGGTCTTAGGTACTAGAGTCCTCTATACTGCAGGTGCTTCTCCTGGGTGGCACGTGGTACGGTTTTAGGGAGGGGCACCCGCCCCCTCCCCCCTATGTATGTTCGAGTACCCTGGGGGTTAGTACTCAAGCCTGCCTAGCTCAACGGTAGAGCGCCCTGTGGTATCATTCTTATCTCCTAGAACTCCCAGGGAGGTACGTGGTTCGACTCCACGGGGGGGCTTTTTTTTTCCACCCCCTTTTTTTTTCATCACTTACTTTTGCTTTCCTGTCCACCGGCAAGACCTCGCCCATATTTCAAGACTTAGTGAGGGTTTTCTTGGGCATCGCCTTTCTTTTGCAAAACCTTCGGTGGCAAAGGCATACTGCGTGCCTTTCCAGAGAGGCAATTTTCCCGACTGCTTCCAGTTTAACCTTTTCTTAGGCCCTGTCAACGCCTTATAGATCTCAGTGCGTTGGAGGGTAGTAACAGCCCCCCTAGCTCAACGGTAGAGCGCCCTGTGGTATTATTCTTATCTCCTAGAACCCCCAGGGAGGTACGTGGTTCGACTCCACGGGGGGGCTTTTTTTCCCTCCCCGTTCTCCATTTTTGTACCCCTTTCTTTTACTCTGCGCTCTTTTAGGCAAAGGTTTTTTTTTTTTTTACTTGTTCGAGTTTGCTGAAGGATATGGCAGACTGGACCTTTTCTCTGGAAGGACTTTATGGAGGGACATTTTCGCCAACCCCTTTTTTTTACCCCCCTCTCTCGCTGCAGTAAGGCCTTATATGCTCGAGTAGGTTAGAGGGTATTAAGAAGCCCGCCTAGCTCAACGGTAGAGCGCCCTGTGGTATTATTCTTATCTCCTAGAACCCACACCCAGGGAGGTACGTGGTTCGACTCCACGGGGGGGCAATTTTTTTTTTCGTGCCCTCGCATTTTCTCAGCTTTCGTTTGGCTCCCTCTCCTTTTCCTCCACTTTGCAATTTTTTTCGAGGCGGTGGTGGCGCCTATAACTAGGACGAAGCTGCGCGCTTGTTATCTCTGGCCTGGCCCGCTTGGGGATGTGGAGAGCTTTGCGGCCCGGGGGCCGTCTGTTGAGCGCTTTGACACATGCTCTCCTTGTTCAATGACACCAAACTCGCCTAGAGGCTCTCCTTGGGGGAGAAGGCGAAGCCCTTCGGATTCCGTTGGTGGCGGCATGTGATGCCCCTCCTCTTCTACCCGTGGCACGAATCCGCTTTGCCTGAGGCACCTTCACTAGCTGCCCTCCTCAATATCGATCGGCCCGAGGTCGTCTGGGACGGTTTTCCCTTGATATTTCGCCCGTATCTCTCGGCCAGGTGCAGCTCGACTCAGGCTTTGCCTGGGTGGCTGCCCTAGCCCAACGATAACAGGATAGACTCCAACTTCTGTCTTTCCCGGGCGTTCCTTACCACTCTGTGACGAGGTGACCTCGCGTCCAAGATTCTCAACAGGCCCCGCAGCTTGGTATCGGCGGCGCGGTCGTGGAAGGTGACGATGGTCAGGGAGGCGCGGGCGAAGATGGCGGCCATGTTGTCGATCTGGGGGATCTTGTGCCGGTCGTCGTCATGGATGATGCAGAGCTGTTCGGCCCAGAGGTAGCGCTGGTGCAGCCTCTCGACCAGGACCATTGGCCTAGCGCATCGTCCGCGAGAGTGGAGGAGTCCTACCTCTAGACAGCGAGGACGGGTTCCGGAGCTGCCCTATGTTGCCCGTGTTTGATTCGGCATCTGATTCTAGAGCGTGATTTCAGCGTGGCTGTCGAGCAAGAAAGACGAAGCATCGTCTGTCCGTCATGTGCCACTCTGCCGGTGATGGCTGGGCCTCCGACCTCGACCAGCAGAAGCAGTGTGATGGATTTCCGCATCGGCAGCGTAATGTGATGGTGTCCATCCTTTCTTGCCCTGCGCCTCGACCCTAGCCAGTGCATCAAGCTCGACTTCTTCCTTGCTTCATAAGTAACTTCATCATCTCCACTTGGCGATGCTGGGTCAAAGATATCCATTTTTTTGAACCTCGTATATCCCCTGCCTAATCGGGTCAGTTGAGGCCACTGATCACTTACACGGAAACCACAACCGTAGTTTCCTTCTTCTGTCTACCTAAGTACGGTCTCCCAACCTCATTTGGTACTGTCAACTAGAGTGCTGGTGGGGCCAACCTCAAATCGCAATGCCAGTGCGTGTATTGTGCGCTGTTTAAGTCCTGCCGCCGCGTCACGCAGTTGTGTTGACCTTTCAGATTCTTTGCTAGGTGCAGACCCTGTGGTACGTACCGCCGCAAACGGCATGTTTTTTTAACCCATGGTTCAGCAGACATCGGGAATAATCGCATCGGCGATAAGAAGTTCGGCGTGCTAGCGGCTCAAGGTATCGCCGCAGTGGGTTTGTTAGTGCTGACGAATAGGTTGGTTAAAGCGCCGTAATTCGATGCCAAGTACCGATCGAGCGGGCCCGGTGTCAACCAAGAGCGGGGGGGTAGCCCCCAGATGCCGAAATGCAGGTACCTGCCTACTTAATTAACATGGCATGACCCTCACATTTGAAATCTCGACCACTGTTTGACCATTCTTAAAAAAATCCACAACCTTGGAAGTTTCAGATCAATCAAGATGGACCAATTCGAGTATAACGCAAACCCGGGCCGGGTGATCTTTGGCCACGGCACGCTCCAGAAACTGCCCGCCGAGCTGGAACGCCTCAATCTGTCGGCCCCACTCCTACTCTCGACACCGGAGCAGGTCGGCCAGGCAGAAGGGCTCAAGAATGACGTGCTGCAGGGCAAGGTGGCGGGCCTCTTCTCTGAGGCGACGATGCACACGCCAACCCACGTCACCGACCGGGCGGTTGAGTACGCCAAGTCTCGCTCGGCCGACTGCGTCGTCTCCATCGGCGGCGGGAGCACCATCGGCCTGGGCAAGGCCATCAGCATCCGCACGGGCATGCCGCACATCTGCATCCCCACCACCTACGCCGGAAGCGAGATGACCCCGATCCTGGGCGAGACGGCCGACGGTGCAAAGACGACGAGGTCCGACCCCAAGATCCTGCCCGGGACCGTCATATACGACGTCGACCTCACCATGACCCTGCCCGTGGGAATGAGCGCCGTTAGCGGCGTGAACGCCATCGCGCATGCCGGTGGGTTTTCCCCCTTCTCACAAACTCTCTTCTTGTTCTTGCTGACTGACACTGCACGCCCACCAAAACAGTCGAGGCGCTCTACGCCCGCAACACCAACCCAATCATCAACCTCCTCGCCGAGGAGGGCACCCGCGCGCTCGCCACCTCCCTCCCGGAGCTAGTGCGCGACCCCTCGTCGCGGTCAGCGCGGTCGTCGGCTCTGTACGGGGCGTGGCTGTGCGGCACCTGTCTTGGCAGCGTGGGCATGTCGCTGCACCACAAGCTGTGCCACGTTCTGGGCGGCAGCTTCGGGCTGCCGCACGCCGAGACGCACACGGCGGTGCTGCCGCACGCCGTCGCGTACAACGCACCGCGGATCCCGGAGGCCATGGCCAGGCTCGCGGGCGCGCTGCCGGGGAGCGAGGGCGATGCTGTCAAGGGGCTGAATGTACTGCTCGAGAGCCTCGGGGTCAAGAGGGCGCTGAAGGACTTTGGGATGCGGGAGGAGGATGTCGACAGGGCGGCGGATATTGCTGTTAGCAACCCGTACTGGAATCCGAGGGAGGTTGAGAGGGAGCCTATCCGTGAGCTGATTCGGCGGGTGTGGGCTGGCGAGCCGGCGAGGGCGGATCTGTGAGTGGGAATTGGTTGTTAGCGATGCGAGTGTGCATCTTCTTCTACGATATACACTGAGCTGTCACTGGGCGGCAATAATACAGAGGATGATGCTCCATTTTTCCTATGTAGGTATCAAACTTTGAGGGCGGATTCTCCCACCGAAAGTGAGGCCCAGATCGCACCTCTACCAACCAGCCTGAAGCAGTCCCACTTCAGGGTCATTATGGTTGCCAGTATCGCCCCTTTCAAAAAGATACCCCCGGTATATCAAGTTGCCCGGGTCCTCGTTGCCCACCTCACTCCGACTCGTCTCCAGAATCCTCCCGCCAGCGCTGAAGGTCATTCCGCATGTCGTCGTCGGTCAACTCAACACCACGCCACATTTCGTCTCCGCTTGGGCCGGTGACCCCTTCGGGGGTGGAAGAAGGACCGCGAGGCGGGATGGGGATTACACCCCCGGCAACCCTACACTCAGCCACGTGCTGGGGAGTCAGGCCTTATCTCGCAGGGTAGCCCGGTCGATCCCAAGGCCGTTGAATATCTGAAGGACGACCATCTGCAGCTGCGGGAATCGTTCGGGCTCGTCGGACAGCATGTATCGCACGGCCAGGACGGCGATCGTGTCGGTATGGAATGCAGAGTAGAGATTGATCGTGCTCAGGTTCGGGGGCAGTTCGAGGCTGCTGAACCACTGCGTAAGACGGACTTTGCGGGCATCATGGTCGTTGGGGGTGGGCATCCCGAAGGGCAGGATCACATCGAGCAGGTGCACGAGGTCGATGGACAGGGTCGTGAGCTTCGGAAAATCCGAAATGCATGAGAGTTTCCGGTGCTCGCCAAACATGTAGTGGAAGCTCTGCTCCAGACTGAAGTGCCTCGGGTGTTCGACTTCCTCTTTGAAGCAGAGGCTCTCGAGTGTCTTTCCAACATCGGAAAGGATCTTGTTCCAATTTTCTGCCTCGGGGGGTGGAGCCGCCAGAGTCAAAGTGGTCCCGGTGCGGTACATCACCCCGTTGGGAGTAAACGATAGAGGACCCGGGTCGTTGGAAACTCTAGCCGTCTCTGAAATGGGGTTGTGGCACAGGTTTAGCGTGCGCAATTTCGGACAATCCTTAAGCAGGTCGCGGATATATTCCAGGTTGGCCGGCACGCATCGTCTGAGATTGAGATGGGGAAAGATTGCTGAGAATCGTCTTGCCCCGCCGGCCCATAGCTATCCCGATAGGGAAATTAATACCCGCTAGTTCCAGCGTCTTGAGGCTTGGAAGTCTGAGTAAAGGCATGTACGGGAACAGGTCGCTGGGGTGGAGGCATCGCAACCTAGGGTGGAAGCATTCGCCGAGTGGGTGCCACAGGCTAAGGGTCTGCAAACATGTGCCGATGGTCGCTGGGACTCTGTCGTCGGACAGGGTCAGGAGTTCTGCGAAGCTGTTGTTGCTATAGCGGTCCCATTCCCCTTCCTCTAGAGGTGGGATCATGAGCGACAGGTGCTGCACTTTCGGGGCTGAGAGGAAAATGGTAGCGAATATCTCCTTCAGACCGCAAAACAGCCCCTCCTCCCATTTGTCTCGAATCTCCTGAACAATGGAATGATCCACCAAATGCTCGACCAAATCAATTCCGTACTGGTGAGACTGGTAATGAAGTCTCTCGGATCTCGGCAATGCTGCCTCATCTTGCTCCACGGTACACTCGAGGACTCTCACCAGCTCACCGTTCTCGGGCTGATCGAGAAGTGTGGAGAGCAATTTCAAAAGCATGACATGCGTGTCGATGTATATAACGCGGTACAGAACCTGCTTGGCTACCGCCGAGACCGTCTTCGATGTCAGCATCAGATGACGAAGGTCACGGTGCTTGTCCTGGTTGGTCTCGCCTGGCCGACTAGAGGCCCAGTGCTCTTCATATTCTGTCATCACCTGAGCGACGAACCTGCCGATGATGTCCTGCAGGAGCGTCAGTGGCAGCCTCTCCAGGCGGGAAGAGCCCGGGGAAGACATCGTCTGTTAGACCATGGTTAGCTTTGGCTCATTTCTTTCCGCATTGAGTCAAGCCGATGGACATGGACTTGAAGATCGCTTGAGTTTTCAGGGAAAAGATAGAAAAGACACTTACTTTGCTCGGTGCTGGATCAAAATGGCAAACCCGAAAATAATCTTCTGAAATATCTTCGTACACTTTCGTCTCCATTCGAAATCTAGATTGAGGATTCGGAAGCGAGAAATGTTGCAAGATAGACCTAAAAGGCCAGAGAGATGTTTGCAGGTGCGGCGATGGAGGAGGAAGGAAAAACTGGGAGAAAACAATGGATAGTGGAAGGATGGGAAAATTTTGTTGCTTGATAGTGACATTAGTTGGCAACAAGAACAGTAGGTACCCGTACTTTTAAGGCAAGAGGTGAGGTAGATAATTGCCTGCCTGGTGAAGTACACAGTATCTCCCAGACAATCCCGCAAAATCTTGAACCACACCTCAGTGAATGTGAGGGAAGAAGGTCAGTCTTCTGGCCGTTCTCCAAGTTTCTTGAGAAATCACTACTACATTTTCGAACCAGAGTTAGTGCAAGCACGATCTTCACGCAGAAACCGTCATATCCTAAACAACAATGTTCCCGATTTTTAGGTTTCATTGTGTGACAGTGCTATTTCCTCCTCCAGCAACTAATAACAAAGAACTATGACAAGAGTGTTATTGGCTCTTAACTGCAGGCCTTTGAGTACAAACCATGGAATATATCCAAACCCAAACCCCATTTACACGATTCATCGGAATACTTTGTTGGGAAGCAAGCTCGAATTAACAAGGAAGAATCATTCCTCATCAACTAGTTGGTGAATCTGATTGTTTCTGCCTTTCCTAAGAGCTGCATTGTTGAGGAAAACCCCAACATACCCACCATGGCCACAGGCAGAGGAATGCCATGCTATCGTCTCTGGTACCAAAGTTGATATTTGGATGAGATGAGGTGTCGTTGGGGCGTCACTCGGTAGGTAGGTAGGTTACTGAGGCATTCCAGTCACCTGACTTTGCATATGACCTGGGGACATTTCGCTTCGAAGCTCAAAGTGAGCCAGACATTCTATAGGTAGTCTGTTGTTGTTTTCCAATTTCAATATAGGTAACTGTACAAGCACAAATCGCGCGAGAACTGCAAGCACCACCGCCCAAATACGCCAGTCGCTCTCATATCAATGAAGACGTTCGACATGAGCGCGATCCACTGAGTAATGAGAATCAGGTAGAAAACGTGAATCACGTGACCCTGCATTAGAGCGGTGCCCCCCACTCCGCCTTGTTGCTTCGCAAAACTTCAACAATCTCCCGCGATTCAACCGAAACTCCTCCGATAAGTCGCCTGCCAGCGAGGTATTCCCGGAGTCTTGCCGTCAGAAACAACGCCGTTTTCTGGATTTCTGGTTGGGGGTAGGGGCATGTCGCCGAGCTATCCTGTGGCGTCGCCGGCGTCTGCCGGGGCTGCCGAGGCTGCATCGACAACACCACAGACCCATCAACATGCAACCCTCTCTCCGCATCAACACCCGCCGCATCACCAGTTTGACAATGGCGGCTTGTCATCGTCAGTGGCCCAGTCCGCTACTGCTGCCGAAGCAGCAGCAGTGGCGGCAGCAGCAACAACAATCCACCAAGGCTTGCGAGCTCTCCAAGCTGCGCCTGCCGTTGCCGGCGCCGCGCCCGGACAGAGTCCGGTGACGCATCAGTATCCGCCGCCGCTGCATCCTCATAATGATTCCCACTACTCACCGGGGACTTCGCTCTCGCCAGCCCAGCAACATCACAAGGGAACCAGGCTTCGACGGGCCTGCGATATGTGCAGCCAGCGCAAAGTCAAGGTCAGTTGCCCCTCCTTCTCTCTCTCCGCAGGGTATGTGTGGGGATTTATGCGCATATATGGATACCTAACTGACCAAAGGGGGGGGGGGGGGGGGGGGGGGGGGGGGGGGGGGGGGGGGCGGGCGGGCGGGGGGGGCGGGG